TATGATGTGTTTATATCTAACTTTCTGAGAAACAGGAAAACCATTTTCCAAAGTAATTACACCATTTTACATTCTAGTAGCTCCATATGCTTGCCAATATTTGGTATGGTCACAATATTAATTTTAGACATTCTAACAGCTGCACAGTTGTATTAAAGTTTGCTTTTTTATTTCTCATTAATTTTCTTTTTTGAGACAAGGGCTTACGGCTTGTCTCCAAAAAGACAAGCTGGAGTGCAGTGGCAATCTTAACTCCTGGGGCTCAAGTGATCCTGCTGCCTCTGTCTCCCAAGTAGTTGGGCCTATAAGCATGTGCCACCATGTCTAGTTAATTTTTTAAAAAAACTTTACATAGAGATGGAATCTCACTATGTAAGCCTCCATGTGTGGCCTGGGTTTTTATTTTTATTCTATATCTTGTAATCTTGCTAAACTCACTGTTTGTTCTAATAGCTTTTTCAAGATTACACTGGCTTTTCTGCAAGAATGATCATGGTGTTTGATAACACAGACATTAGACCTCTTCCTTCCTAATCTGAATGTTTTAATGCCTTATTAGCATTGGCTAGAACCTGGTACAATGTTGAATAGAAGAGTGAATATCCTTGATTTGTTGTTTCCCATCGTGGTGGAAAAGCATTCAACCTTTCACCATTAAGTATGATCCTAGCTGTGTATTTTTCACGGATGTTCTTCATTGCCATGAAGTCGTTCCCTTCTGCTCTTAGTATTCTGAGGGCTTTAATCAGCACTGGGTGTTGGGTTTTCTCAAGTGTTTTTCTATATCGAATAAGATGATCATATATTTTCTTTTTTCATTTTAGTATGATGAATTATATCGATGAATTTTTAAAAGTTAAACCAATTCTGCACTACTGGTCATGATGAATTACCCATTTTATTTATGGTGGGTTTGATTTGTTAAAATTATTTTAAGAATTCTGGCATCTACATATATAAGGGATACTGGTCTGTAGTTCTCTTTTCCTGTAATACTTTGTTTGGTTTGGGTATCAAGGTAATGCTTATTCCTCATAGAATAAGTTGGGTAGTGTTCTAATTTTCTGAGACAGCTTGTATTTTATTTTTCTTACATGTGTGGTAGAATTCCACATTGAAGCAATCTGGACCTTGAGCTTTCTTTGCAGCCAAGGTTTTAACTACAAATTCAATTTCTTTAATACACAACCTAAATAGTCTTTTTCTATTTTTTCTTTGGTGTGCTTTAGTTCTTCGTGTTTCTCATGGAATAACTGACAGGAAGGGCCAGAACAGCTTCCAGTTTAGAGTTAATGGGGCAAAATCATTCTGAATACTCTATTTGAAACCCCATGAATTACTAGGTTATCTACTCTGGCTAGTAGAGTAGGACCTGTAAGGTCCTCACGCGCACTCTGAAGATTTTTCTCCCTAGTGTTTTCAGGGGGCTCTTCTACTAGTCTTTATTGTAAGTCTCCTTGTAAATAGGCACTGTTGTGTACTAAGCTGAACTCTTGGGTAGGACTATGAAAACATTCTGTATGCTGCTTTCTCTTCTCTGGTATTTTTATTTTTAAAGGCAGCACCTGTGGCTCACGGGAGTAGGGTGTTGGCCCCATATGCCGGAGGCGGTGGGTTCAAACCCAGCCCTGGCCAAAAATATATATATATATATATATATATTTTTTTTTTTTTTGGAGACAGAGTCTCACCCTGTGGTATCCCATAGCTCACAGCAATCTCAAATTCTTGGGCTTAAGTGATCCTTTTGCCTCAGCCCCTCGAGTAGCTGGGACAACAGATACCCACCACAACGAATGGCTGGTATTTCTATTTTTAGTAGAGGACAGGCCTCATTCTTGCTTACACTGATCTCCAACTCCTGAACTCAAACCTCTCTGAATGCTAGGATTACAGGTGTAAGCCACCTCACCTGGCCTCTTCTCTGATACTTTTAACTTGCAAACACTAGCTGTCTTTGACTCTAACTTCCAGCTCCATCTCCTCTGCCAGCCTCTATTTGGGTTACCTTCCTGTGCTGTGCCCTGGAAACTCTCTCCAAGTAGTTAGCTGGGGCAGTCATTAGATTTATCTTATTTATTTCTTCTCTCATAGGGATCACTGATCACTGCCTGTGAAGAAATAGTCTTGACTGACAGGGTGTTTTTGAAAAATACTGAGGTGACCAGAAAAGTTTTAAATCATCACTACTAGTATACAATCCTTTGAGAAAGGGAAGGTGACATCAGGTAGAAAATTAGGGCCAAGTGTGTCTGGTTTTAGATAAGTGTTGACATTTTAAAAATTTATACTAAACTAAGTCCATTTTCTTGGTGGGAGGAGTGAAAGATAAAATAATCCTATACATATATATATTCCCTGAGAAATATATTTTACCATCACATTTTAGAAATGAAATGTCCCATTTTCTTCCAGGAGAAGTGAAGATAATTTATTATTACTATAGTACTGAAGAAGAACAATGGGCGGTGTGACTAAAGTGATAAAACATATTGCTCTCCTTGCTCTTTGTGATCAAATATGGTATCCTTTTTATTATGCCTATTAAATTTTATTAGTCAACTGATATTTGCAGTATATTATTATTTAAAAAAATTCAATTTTGACATTCAACTTACTTGATATTTATTAAGGTATTCTGTTATTTGCATTTGTATTATATGCAGATATAATTTTATCTGAATCAGTCGTAGTTTACTTCATCCAAGCTCAGAATAAACATTGAAGCATACGATTAGAAATCCATTTATTTGTTAGATCTTTTGAGACTGGTTTAATAAAATACCACCCAATCTATTCACCCTATAGCCAGTCTTTATTATTCTAGAGGGTGTCCCAATGGTTACCCCTAAAGTTGCCATATATAGGGAAAATGGGGAATTGTAGCTACAGTGAGGTAGCCAATTTAGAATATATTGTAAATAATTTGTGAAATTTTGTAGTGGACATTATGTGAACAAAGGTACATTTAGCCACAATTTCTCTATGTATGGCAACCTTAGGGACACATAGTATATAATCCATATCCATAGTCTTTTTAAATACAGGATGCATCCACTGTTTATTAGTCTGCCACAATAGGTACTCCAAAAGTATTTATTAAAATGAATGGAAATGACAATAATTACAACAAAAGAGAAAAAAGGTTTCCTGATATGACTTCCAGATATGTAGCAGTTTATACTTATCACTTCCTCTTCTAGGTGGAGAAAAATAATTCCTCTAATAATCTATAATAAGGGGTAGTGCCTGTGGCTCAGTGGGTAGGGCGCCGGCCGCATATACTGAGGTTGGCAGGTTAAAACCCCCCTGGCCAAACTGCAACAAAAAAGTAGTAGCCGGGCACTACTTAGTAGCCACTATTTTTGTCAATATGTCAGTTTGTGAATTGTCAAGAATATAGCATTTCAACTCTACTGAGGGCAACATAGTAAGACTGTCTCCTCCCCACCACAAAAAGGAATACAGCATTTCCTTCTAATAGTTATCACCTCTGTAGATACTCACACCATGACATTACTTTCACCAAATCAGACCTTTAAGCTTCACCCAGGTGATCTCATAAATTATCAGCAAGCCAATTTTTATGTTATTCTAGACTGATAGAACAGTTACCTTATTTGGATATAAAACTGGTGAATAAATTCAAACTACGTTAGAACTGCAGAATCAGAATGAACCTCTGAGATGTCTAATACAACACATTCACTTTATACATGAGATCCCCAAGCACACAACAGTTCAGTGACATGGCCAAATCATAGGAAGATACACTAAAGAGCTTTCTTTTTTAATTCATGAATTTTTAAAGCCTACAGGTTAAACATAAACAATAAATACTAAATAAGTAAAAAAAAAAAAGTTATTTTCTATAATTAAGAATAGAAGAAAATACATTCTAGGTAAAAAATAAAAAGCTGCATAACTGAAATGAAATTCCATTTTATTACCATCAACATACAACTATTAGCAAAAAATGATAAACAAAGAAATTTAACATAAATCATAAAATATTTCAACATTTATTCATAACTTATCAACCTTAGATTTGAACAACCTTAGGCTTTAAAGCGACTAAAAAAAATGATGAAAGTGATTTTTATTTTAATTATAGTCATAACAACAGGTCAGGTATACATCTGTAAAAACTCAAAAATGCATCCAAAAAAGGTGAATTTTACTATGTGTAAATTAAAACTCAAATGCCTATAATTTAAAAAGTAAATGTTCGGGGCAGTGCCTGTGGCTCAGTGAGTAGGGCGCTGGCCCCATTATACGGAGGGTGGTGGGTTTGAACCTGGCCCCAGTCAAACTGCAACAAAAAATAGCCAGGCGGTAGGTGCCTGTAGTCCCAGCTACTCGGGAGACCGAAACAACAGAATTGCCTAACCCAAGAGTTGGAGGTTGCTGTGAGCTGTGATGCCTCAGCACTCTACCGAGGGTGATAAAGTAAGACTCTGTCTCCAAAAAAAAAAAAAAAAGGTAAATGTTTGGCCGAGCATGGTGGCTCACTCCTGTAATCCTAGCACTCTAGGAGCCCAGGGCGGGTGGATTGCCTGAGCTCAGGAGTTTGAGACCACCCTGAGCAAGAGCAAGACCCCATCTCTACTAAAAATAGGAAAAATAGTTGGGGGTAGTGGTAGGTGCCTGTAGTCCAGCTACTCTGGAGGGAGGCAAGAGAACTGCTTAAACATAGGAGTCTGAGGACGATGTGGGCTATGATGCCATGGTACTCTATCCAAGACAAAAAAGTGAAACTCTGTGTCTAAATAAATGAATGAGTGAATAAATAAATAAATGTTTTACTAAGTAAGAATTTACTATATACTGAATGAAATACTGAAAATATTGAGTTACAAGAGTCACATTGAGGTAATTTTGTTACGTAATTCTCAAGGAAATTAGTGCAAAATTTAGGCTTTTATTTACATGTTTCTAAACATATACATAGATCACAAACGAAAACAGGTTTCCTGTTTTTAAACAAAAGGGTACCTTACCGTCTCGTTTCCAAAAAGTATGTCGACATAAGGCATAATTTTCATCAATGGTTCCTTGTAGAATTGGCTAATAAATGGTGCAGACAGATTCAAAACGAAAATCTTGTTGTTTTCAGAAGCATGGAGAGCCACTTTTAGTGCTGACTCTGGGGAAACAGTAAGAAAGAAGCCCTGGATAAAGGAAAAAGAAGGAAAAGTTAGAAATGCCATCCCTAGAGTCACTTAAGTGAGAATAAAAGAAACCTATACAAAGTACAAAGCATATATAAAATACGATTATAAAATGCAAGATAGAAAATAATAGCATTTGACTAGGAGAAATTTTAATATACGAGTACTATATGCTTGATGCATGCCATTACTTCTGAGAAAAACTATGACTTATTTCATATTAAATTGATATGCTCAATACTGTAAGAATTCTGAGAATCTACAAAAGAAAAAATATTCTAAAGGTCTCATTCAGGACAATAATTACATTTAAATGAGAAAAACTGGACTATGAAGGCAGACCGAATTCCTCTGGTGAATAAACAGTGTGGATTCTTATAAATGACTTAAAAGTAATCTGTTTATTAAGATCACAGTTTGTTACCTTAAGAAATACCTAAATTGGATTTTGAGGAAGATTCTAAATTACAATTTTCAAATAATGGGAACGTACTTCAGCAAGGTAATAGGAAAATATTTTAATTAATGTTTCATATCAGGAAAGCTATGTTTTAAAAATACCATTTATCTCCATATTTAATATTAATCAAAGCTTCATTAATCAAAGATGAAAATATACATACATAGGAAATTAGTTTGGATGGTACATAAGGAACAAAAGGAATACACAAAAGGAAATCACAGAAGATGAACAGGGAAAGGCCAGCTGAATTAAGAACACGAAGGATCTTGGTATCAGAGGTGAAGACCATTTGGTAGGCAATGTGACAGCGTGGTAGGAACGGATCATGGGCAATGAAATTTTGCTTGAAAGCAAAGAATAAAAAGTTTGCAGGAAAATTTAAAGGAAAGTTAATCTGGAAAGCAACAAATCAGCAACAGTTTATCAAAGTCTGTGTTTGGCTGTATAAAAAAAAATACTGGGACCACTACATACATGACTTGGCAACTGTTTAAGATGTGATAAAGAAAAAGGAGTCAAAGATGACTGAGAGTTTGAATCTGTTTCTACCATTAACAGGAACAGAAAAATCCTGAATAAGGCAAGGTACAGTGGCTCATGTCTATAACCCCAGTACTCTTGGAGGCCGAAGCAGGTGGATCACTTGAGCTCAGAAATTCAAGACCAGCCTGAGCAAGAGCAAGTTTCTACTACAAATAGGAAAATTAGCTGGGCTGTTGTGGTGGGTACCTGTAGTCTCTGGTACCTGGGAGGCTGAGGCAGGAGGATAGCTTGAACACAGGAGTTTGAGGTTGCTCTGAGCCAGGCCAATGCCATAGAGCTCTAGCCTGGGCATCAGAGTGAGACTATCTCAAAAACACAAAACAAATCTGAAATTTACTGAATAATTCTTGTGTGCCAGGCACTACACTAGAAGTTTTCTATATAGTAAGTAGTTATTATTGTTTTTGTCTTATATCAAAGCCAGTGAGGTAGACACTGTTACTATTCTTATTTAAAGGAAGAAAGATAAAGAAGTTAAAAAATGTTCCCAGCCACACTGCTTTACATGTGAGAGAGACTGGATTCAAATTACTACAGATATTTTTTCTATACTTCGAGCAAGATAACAGAGAAGAAAAGAGCAGAGCAGCTTTTGTTGGTGGAGAAGAAGGAGAGCACATAAGGACTTTGTTTTAGTTTAATAAATTTTATTTTTTATTTTTTTAAGAGAGGGCGTCTTGTGCTGCCCAGGCTGGTCTTGAATGCCTGAGTTCAAGAGATCCTCCCACCTCAGCCTCCTGAATAGCTGGCCTATGGTTGTATACCACTGCATCAGCAAGAAGGTTATTTCTTTTTTTTTTTTTTGAGACAGAGCCTCAAGCTGTCCCCCTGGGCAGAGTGCCTGTGGCATTACAGCTCACAGCAACCTCCAACTCCTGGGCCCAAGAGAGTCTCCTGCCTCCGCCTCCCAAGTAGCTGGGACCACAGGCGCCCGCCACAACACCCGGCTATTTTTTTTTGGTTGCAGCCATCATCGTTGTTTGGCGGGTCCGGGCTGGGGATTCGAACCCGCCACCTTAGGTGTACGTGGCTGGCGCCTTAGCCGGTTGTGCTATAGGCGCCGAGCCAAGAAGGTTATTTCTAATAGCAGGGAAAGTTTGATCAGTTTTGCTTTTCAAATACAAGAATTTATGGAGAAACAGAAGAAGGAAGAAGCCAGAGAGGGAGGATTAGAGAAAAAAAATAAAGGAAGTGGTCCCTTCAAGCAGAGAAGACCTAGCTTATAAGTGAAAGAACTCATTTTAAAACTGTAAAAGAAAATTCTTTCAAAAGTTATAAAAATGTTATCGAAATATTCACTTACAAGAGACACCACTTCCACCATGCAAACTTCAGAAGTTTACAAAGAAAAAAGAGATCTTTTCTCATTATTTTCAAATTTCAAATAGAATGCTATGAGAATATTAACAGAATTGTGTGGCAGGGGTAATGTATATTGGGATCCATCTTCGAAAGGAGGATTTACTACCCTTACACATTCTGAGATATTAAGAGAGAATTTTATACTATAATCGTGTCACAGGGCAGCACACAAAATATGGCACATTGGCAACTGAGAAAACTGAGGAAGTAAGAAGGTGATTTTGACATTCCCCTGCCTTTCTATATAAGAGCTGGTCAGAAGAAATTCTCCGATTCACCTCACCTGAAAGCAGCTCATAAAACCCTATTCAAGAGAGTTCCTAACCTATACCTGGAGGCCAAGAAGAATCTGGACAGGACTTGCTATGTTCTAATCCCGCTTTCTCCTCCCCACTTTATTACCATTAGATCATACTCTTTTTGTCCAATCAAGTTTCTCTACGACAATCCACTTCTTTTGTCAGACTTAGCATAAAAATGCAAGTTTTCACTGAGTCTTTGGGTCTTTATTTCTGAAGACTCTCATGTTAGGTAAAACTTTATAAAATTAACTATTACACTTTTCTCTTACTAATCTCTTTTCATATAGAGGTATTAGCCATGATCCTTGAGCTAGGTGAGGATAAACTCTTACTTTTTCTCCCCTACAATTGTCTCGTATCATGTAACCTATTGCTAATGAAATTCTAATAATGTTTTGTATTGTAATAATCTCTACTCATCATTTAAAAATTCCAATCCATTAATTCTTTAACATTCAACTGTTCTAAAAGGCAACAAGACTGAGTCTTAGGTATCATTATTTTTTAAAATGTTTTCATCTTTCTTTTTTAAACCAAATACAATGTAACTTGCAAACTATGAGCATCCAAGCTGCTTCCTTTGCTATTTCTGTCACTTGGAGAATTAAAACGAACAGTTCATACAGCATCTTGTCTCCATAGTAATATGTATGTACTGTACTTGCTTTTTAGCCTTTCATTTAATGAGAAGAATTTAAAGCCCCCACCCCCATTTCTCCCCAAACTGTTCCAGCATGAAATAAAAACCTCCCAGAGCTAGCATTCTGCCAGCTGTGGATTAACCACAGACAGCCATAGAATGGTCTACATAAATAGTAACCTGGTCAAATAATTAGGCTTCTCACCAACTACAGGCTGAAAATTTGATCTGCACTAAAATACATCTGATTGTAATTTAAGGTACAGAACACTATGCCCCTGGAGTCTAACTTTGGCCTCATTCCAAATGTGTGTATGCTGTGTGTTTTACTTTAAAATGCAACACAGAAATATTGTGATATGGATAGGATAATGTCTATTTTGTTAATTTTATAAAGACTATACAAAAAAGCCGTCAGCTTTTAAATTAGAAGAAAATCCACAATTTAAACTCATTCTATTTTTGAATGGTCTCATTTTTCTTTAAGTAAATATTTAGTATTTAAACAATTTGGGATTTGTGCTCTGTTAGATTGCTAAGACTGTTAAAATTGATGCCAAGCATAATTTTTCTTCCTAGATTTATAACCTTTGCTAGGCCACATGTTCCAGACCATATTATCACCAAAAATAAAAACAGTGCCATTAAAAAAAATTTTTTTTTCTCACATGGAAAGTTTGCAATAACAACAGCCCAATAGTTTATACATCTATGGTTTAGAAAATACCACATATAACCAACAAAATCTTGTGCTGTTCTAATTAGGTATTTCAGTCCACAGAACAGTTAACTCTGTCTATGAGCAATCAAAAGCAAAGTAGATCCCTAACACTTAGAGGTTGGATACTAATAATCAGAACTGAGAGTGAAGTGGGACATTTGTATAAATAACAATGGAAAATGAAACAAAACAAAAAGGCAGAGGTAGGAGGGACAAAGCAAGACGAAAGTAGAGTTAAAAAACCAGTTTAGGAGAGCCAGAATTAATGCTTGGAATTCATCCTGTTGTTGCATAACAGACACAAGTTTTTAAAATCTCCATTATTCAAGGTGATAACTTGGGGTCCTTATTAATTATCCTCACCTAAAAACACAACTCTATTATTTCCATTAACAATGTGCAAAAAAGGTATGTTATGTGCGTGGGTGTGTGTGCACACATGCCTCTATGTCAATTTCAGGGATTTATTACTCTTGGAAGTGTAAGTCTGTACTGATTCAAAAGAAAATAAGGTGATGCAAAGTAACCATGACTACGATGATTAATTGTGAATATATAGTGATATAGAAAAAAAAGCCTTTGTTTTTGTTTAGAAAAATAATCTGGGCCAGGCTCAGTGGCTCATGCTTAAAATCCTAGCACACTGGGAGGCTAAATTGGGAGGATTGCTTGAGCTCAGGAGTTCAAGACCAGCCTAAGTAAAGAGCAAGATTCAGTCTCTACTAAAAATGGAAAAATTAGCTGGTATCCTGACATGTCAGCAGTCCCAGCTAAGCAGGAGGATTGCTTGAACCCAGAGTTTGAGATTGTAGTGAGCTATGATGACACCACTGCATTCTACCCAGAACAAAAGACCAGGAAAAATGTGATGAAGGTAATTAATAACTTTCTTTAGGCCATAAGTAACTTAAAAACACATGAAAAGGCTCAGCGCCTATAGCTCAACCGGCTAAGGCGCCAGCCACATAC